GGGGCTGAGCTGTGCCCGGTGCCGGTGCCCAGGTCTGGTTCCAGAACAGACGGACCAAGTGGCGAAAGCGGCACGCGGCGGAGATGGCCTCGGCAAAGAAGAAACACGACTCGGAGACAGAGAAGCTGAAGGAGAGCTCGGACAATGAGGATGATGACGAATACAACAAGCCCCTGGACCCCAACTCAGACGACGAAAAAATCACGAGGCTATTGAAAAAGCACAAATCCACAAACCTGTCCCTCGTCAGCCCCTGCAGCACCAGCTCGGACACCTTGTGAGGATGCAGGCACCGGCAGCTGCTCTGGGCAGCTGCGGCTGGCCCAGCGGCGGAGGTGAAGTGTAACTGGATGTTTAAAGTGGTGTGTTGTACAGCCTAAGATGTATGTGAAATGTATATATTTTTTACAGAATAAGTTATGAAATTATTTTCCTTCTCATCGGTGTAAATTTCAGAGGAATTTTTCCAACTTTCTGGTTTTTGTTTTGTGTCCCTTTAAGGTTTGCCCCTCTTTTCTTTTAGCCTTGTTGCCGATTTCCTGCTCCTAACAATCAGATTTTTGTTACGTTTTGTATGGGTCGCCAAATCCAAGCTCAGCCACTTTGTATATAGTAAATTTCAGATTTTGTGATGTATATTTCTAGTGTAAAACCGGCTGTTTTCTTTCACCCCCCCCACCCCCTGCTCAGTGTTTTGGCGGTTTGATTTCTCCTGCCTCCGGATTTTATGCTTAATAATATCAAAAGAGAGGACAACCCAAAACAGCACGAGAGAAAAAAAAAATGGACGCTTGATTTTACATTGGGATCAAATAATGTCTCCACACGGGTTGGAAAGACTTTGTATAGATCAATAAATTATTTAACAAGCTTCTCCTTTAGCGAGTTTCTGCCTGCCTTTCTCATTTTGGGTCCCCATCCCGCTGCGCACCGGGGGCGGCCGGGGTCCGCTGCCGAGCTGGGGGAGGCTTCGCCTCCGCTCCGCGGGATCTGGCGAGAGAACGCAGGGCGGGGGAGAGCAGGGCGCGGGCTTCACCGCACCGGTTGCGGGGCAATTCCTGCTCTTTGCTTCGCTAGTCCGGGGCCCCCAATTTTCAGGGCCGCTCTTGCCCGACTCGC